GATGTCAACCCCATCCAGACATGCATGCTTAAGAGGACGCTCCGTGTACGGGTAAACGATCAAAGAGAGCTGATTGTTAATTAATTAACACTGGAGAATATACGGGATAACCCCGAGAGAGGCGAAATCTCGGCTCGATTCCTGCATGTTTCGATTTCTAAATTGTATGTGTAAAGCACAATGTTACGTATATATTAGTTTCCAATTGATAAAAGGAATACAGAGATGTACAAAGTTGAGAGTGACTGCTCAAAGTTAATTAATTTAGACGAAATTTTTCGAGATCAACGTCGACAATTTCCATGAAAAACCTTGGCGAGAGGCAAAAAAAATATTTAACAAAACGGCACGCAAACGCTTTCCGCGCGAATTTATACCGAGTAAAGAGATTGTCACATTTCTTCCAAATTGCGTCCGCGTTTTGCCGGGTCGGCTCGAATGGAGCATCTTGTAAATCATCGTGTGTACGATGCACTTTTATCTCGGCGATTTACGAAGTCGCGCTGACAGCGCCGGCTTTTGCAATTCATGATCCAGAAAAGCTCCGGCGAGCTTTCGAAACGACGGTGAATTGAGGCCCGACTGTTTGTTTTCAACGCGCTACGAGTGTAACTGAACGTTTTCAACCGCAAAATGATGCTCGTGGCCGGGCATCGTGTAAACACGCGTATTCAACGCTGGAGACACAATCTTCCTCTATTTTTTTTTACGCCCGCCGTGCTTTTGTTCTCCTTTCGCCGCAGGCCGCGTGCCTGCGTAACATAAAGGCTCATTTTCATGTGGCGTTCTTCCGCAAACGTCATAATCAGCAACGTGAAGTACCTACCTGCATATGGGAGAAAAAGATGACAAAAATTTCCAAGTCAAAACCGACCTGTTTATTCAGGTATATGTATTTAAATAGAAAGAGCCTCAAGTATTTTAAATTAAATAATGGAAAAAAATTTTCCTGGATACAGGATTAAGAATAGGATTAAGAATATTATATAAGAACTTCTTCCTCTCTCTGTTGGAATTTTTAGTCCATCCCCGGCAATTTTCCTCCCTTGAACGCCAGTCGTCAGACCATCCAGATTTTATCCCTGTTTTAAACGCGAAAAAGACTACAGCGCTTTATGACGGCGGCGTATTTCCATTTATCGTTCTGTTATCATTCACGTCCATCTCGGACGAAGCAATATGATGCAATCATAGTCGCGCGGCAATGACGTAAAATTTACTGCGCCGGTTGTAAAATTTATCGTTGATGAGAGAGAGAATGTTCGCCGTCCGCGAGATCGTTACGGATGACCGATGCTCGAAAACCGACGCCAGATCTAATCTGAAAAGGATTCATCCCATCGGTCGGTCTAATTTGAAAATAGCAGACGCGAAAATAATACCCATACAGCACAGACCATTGTTGTTATATTGCTGCACAGCAACATTGCAGCAATATTGCAGTAATATTACAATATTGCTGAAATGTCGCAACAATATTACAATGTTGCTGCGATATTGCTGCAATGTTCTGTGCTGTATGAGTGGGTATTATTTTCGTATCTGCTATTTTCAAATTATTGCTGCAATGTTGCTGTGCTGTATGGGTATTATTTTGTACAACAATGGTCTGTGCTGTATGGGTATTATTTTCGCGTCTGCTATTTTCAAATTATTGCTGTAATGTTGCTGCAATGTTGCTGCATTCAAATTATTGCTGCAATATTATTGCAATATAACAACAATGGTCTGAGCTATATGGGTATTATTTTCACGTCTGCTATTTTCAAATTATTGCTGCACAGCAACATTGCAGCAATATTGCTGCAATATAACAACAATGATCTGTGCTATATGGGTATTATTTTCGCATTTGCTATTTTCGAATTATTGCTGCAATATTGTTGCAATGTTACTGCATTCAAATTATTGCTGCAATATTGCTGCAATGTAACAACAATGGTCTGTGCTGTATGGATATTATTTTCACGTCTGCTATTTTCAAATTATTGCTGCAATGTTGCTGCATTCAAATTATTGCTGCAATATTGCTGCAATGTAACAATGGTTCGTGCTACATGGATACTTTTCGTCTCGATTTTCGATCGAGACTGCTTCAACGGAGAATACAATTTCGCCGATAATTTAATGAACGAACAGGAAGCGAATTTATACAAGAAAGGAGTCCTCCAGAGCCCTTTTTATACCGCATTGCGGATGCAATTCACCGGCGGATTGGTTCAAGAAATATCAGCGCGCGAAAATATCAGTAAGCGTTACTCTATGACACGGCTCGGCGAGATGCCGGCGAGAGATACGGCACGTCTCTGATTGCGTTTCTTAGTTCGCAGCTACCTCTCCTTATTGTCCACCATCCCTTTCGACGCTAACCGCGCCTGTCTTTTCTCCCCCTCCCTCCCTCTCGGCGTTCTCTTCTTAACAGCGCAGCTATTTTCTCTCGCGGTTTTTCTTTTGTCGTCCAGGAAGAGTCCCAGGATCGGATTTAACCCCCTTTACCTTAAGAATTCCCTTAAAAGTTTTCCTTCGGTAACTTTGTTTCTTATACAACAACGTATGTTAAAGGAAGATATCATCTTGGGGGATTTATTAGCGATGGAATTGGGAAGCTTGACTAAATCTGTTTATTTAATTAAGCGATTATGCTGGGGAATGCTGGCTCTCGTAAGAAGCTCGGAAACCGGAAAAAATGGATGCACGCACACGCCATCCATTTTTCAGGATTTCTCTAAGCTCCTTAGAATTTTTTGCGTCGCCATAAATAAAACAACAAGCGAAAAAGTAACGGGGATTATAGCGAAGTAAGTGACAATACGACTGAGATAATGGAGGCACTTAACTAAAGCGCGCAAATATATAACGCAACCGCCGCGTGCCACATATGGGACGCCGCTAACAACCCCCGAGAGGGCGAAAATTCGCGCGGGCGGCCCTGAACCGAGCCGGCGCGCTCAGAGTAAACGGAGGGAGAGTGGAGAACGGGAGAAGCTTTACAGAATTAAGGAGCCATTCGCCTTTCATTAACTCACTGCGAGAGAGTCCGGGGAGAGAAGAGATACCCCCTCCATGCTAACTCATCCCCCGGTTAATCACCGCGCGGACGGAGGCGACTGTCTCCGATAAAAGGAACCGGACTTTTATCCTGACGGCGAGGCCATTTACCGCCGTCGCTTGGCAAATAGGTAAACGAGAGATCTCTCCCGATTCTCTACTGAACTCTCTTCGGCCGCGATCTAGATTGCGCTACTTCGTTAATCAAGAACGCACGGCTGCCTGCTTGCCATTTTCCATCCCCCGTGTTTGTTTCCTCTTCCCTCTCAGAAAAAAAAAACAGGAAGAAAGAAACGTCTTCCAGTTTCAGATTAAATTTGAAGTAATCGGAGACTCTCCCCTCTTAATCGTTTTAAAAAGTACCTCTTCAGGGAAGAGAAATGCAATAAAGTAATTATAGTTGCTTAATTAACATATTCAAACTACTTGCAAGGAAATATAACGTTACCATTATAACAGTAAAATTAAATTTAAAGATGTCATTCGTCATTAAATATATCCTGGATATGTCATTAAAATCCTTCCAACAATGGAAAATACTCTCAAAATTGAAATACTAAAACAAAAATATCGAGAATTTAACTTCTTATCATTTGAAACCTATATTTCGCATTGTGCTGTGCACGATAACGTATTTTATTTTTCTTTAAAACTACTGATTTTATGAAAAAAATAATAGAAATGAAAAAGTTTCTGAATAAATCAAACTTTTTAATGTATATTTTTAGATGATCATATTCGGCCCCATTAAAAAGTCCTAATTAAGAAGAAAAATGGTGTTTTTATTAAGAAATACCCAGAGTAATTTTTAAATAAAAAACAATTATACAGGATGTTTCTTAATAAATAAAAAAATTTAGGAGATGATTCTTTGTCGAAAATTAAAGAAGATTTTTCATGTACTCCTACATCCTTCTCTGTGGAGATACACTTCTTCAAAAATGAAGGTAAAAATTAAGGTAAAAATTAATTAATTAATTTTTTATTTTTTTTCAAATTCGGAACAAGTTAAAGAAATAAAATTAGGTGGATATTTTCTACTAGTAAAATGGTTATTTATTAATATTTTTTTTAGACTTCCGTATTGTTATAAGTATCCGTATTATTATAAGAGGACGAAACTAGCAACCCCCATTCAATCTTTTATTGGAACTTTTTAATGGGCTCGAATATGATCATCTAAAAATATGCATTAAAAAGTTTGATTTATTTAGAAACTTTTTTATTTCTTTTTTTTTCATAAAATCAGTAGTTTTCAAGAAAAAAAAATAAAATACGTTATCGTGCACCGCACAATGCTAAATAGCATAGGTTTCGAATTACAAGAAGTTAAATTTTAAAATAAAAATAAAATTGGAATAAATGTTGGGAAAATTGAAACAAAAGCAAAATTATAATAAAAACCTAATTTTTACCCCATTTTTGGAGGAGTATAATTTCACAGAGAAGAATCTAGGAGTATACGTTTGTATGAAAAACTCCCTTCATTTTCTACAAAGAATCATTTCTTAAAATTGTTCACGCTTGTTAAGAAATACCCTGTATTTAAAAAAATCCCGAATTATAAAGCTAATGTTAGGATAGCAAAATGTATACGATGGTAAAATCGCTTTTTCTCGACTGGATATTAAAATTATAGCATAAACGCGCAGACACAAACAAATGCGACGAAATTTTCATCAGGAGAATTCTTGTAACACGATTTATGGCACGACGAGTCTTAATACGCCTCTCTCAAGAATCATGAATTTCAGTCGCGACGAATCTCTCGACAATATACGAGAAACATGTTGGGATAATCCCCCTTCGCGTTGACATTATAACGGATCGGGGAATATACCCTGTAAGTAGTCTCACGACCGCACTACTCCGACGAGGGTTAATCTTTATTATCAAGGCGGGCGCTGAAACCGCGCCGCATCGACCTTTCGGGGTCTCCTGTTAAGACTCACCGGGATCGGAAGTGGGATGCGCCCTGGTGAGTCGGCAGAGTTGTAATGGCAGATAACGAGTGTCCGCCCGCGGTGGTGACTTTGGCGGTGGCGGTGTCGCGCTGAGGAAGCCGCGCTGAAGTTCCCAGCCCACTTCCTGGATGATCGAAGCCTTCCTGAAGTACGGCGTCACTTCCCGCAGGTATTTCACTGCAACAACAAAAGCGTCGTCAGCGTCTCCTCTGGCTAAAGAGCTCGTCAGGAAGCGTAAACGTTTACACTTCAACCCCTTCGAAACTCCCTCTCACTCTTTTTCTCCCTCCCACGAGATATCTATTTTATAATTACATTTTCTAAACTTTCTTCCTCTCTTTCCTCGCTTCAAAAAATTCAAAATGAATCTATAATCATTTTAAGCACGGAAAGATTGCGAGTGTAGCTTAAACGATCTGATGGCTGTGAGATCAACGATATTTATTTAATTGTTCTGTTAGTTTTAAATAAAAACAATATTTGTTCATCATTCAAAATTTCGACAAATACTACAAATTTGCTTCAATTGCTCCTACAAGAAATTATTTTCATTAGGAAAAGAAAACGATACTGGAATTTTGGAGCTTATTACCGAGGAGAAATATGTGAGTTGAAAGTGGAACATGGCCTGTTAAGCGCTATAAAACCAAAGAAAAGTTACTTTACATTACTCGTGCAGGTTCAAACATAGATTCGCGAGTGATCCGCTGGGAGACCGGCAAGAAAATCCAAAGTTTCTTCTCGCGAGGCTCTGAAACGAAAGTCGTGTCGCGGAAATCGAGTATCGACCCTTCGAATTGCGGGTAGCTCCTCCGCTTAGCCGACATCTTGTCGGCCCTATTACGCGAAATTTAATGGAGAACGTCGCCGTCACGTGGCGACAGCGGCGTGATGGGAATAGAATTCTGATGTATCGTATCCACGATGATCCAATATGTCTACCACGCAGCTTCGCGCGGATAGTGTATGCGCGCACCCTCGTAACCGGCTTGTATTTACTCCCTTTCGATCACGAACGACATTTCCGCAGATCGTGTCAATCCCCTTAATTGAATATATCAGCATTCATCAGCGTCGGCGCACAATGTCGGCGCCTTTGCCCTGACGTGGCCTTATAGTTGCTTCTACAGAATTGGACGTGGCAAGAAGTTTACATACATTCGCCTCATTTTTCTATTAATCCTCGCGGATTCTTGGTAAATTCCAAAACCTAGATTTTTCATGAAAAGAGAAAGCTTCGTAGGAGGAATTGCAAGCGCGAAAATAACACAGGCCTGCAAAAAAGGGAGTCAAAATTTCTTTTTAAGATGCAATAGTGATTTTTGACGTAATTTTGTGCGCTGAATCCGAATCTGGCCGCCGAATTTGCGTAGTACGTCAGGTTTTTGAGTTATTTGTAGTTGAATAGCCCAAAAATCGCTATTTTGGCCAATTTCATGAATTTATTGTGAGTAAACCAAATTTTTTGAAATATTTCTGTCAATGGCATCGTATAGTACTCACCTTCATCTTTCGAATCCACTTTCGATTACCGCCGCACGATTTTTTTTCGCTCAGATATACAAGTCATAAGACTGGTCATGCATGGGGATTTAATAAGCATTCTAAATCAACCGTGCCACCTCTCTATCTCACTACGAATCAAAATTAGGGTAAAAATATACATTACATTAATGTATTTCACTTTAAATCGCTACCGTCTAAAACATTAGTACAGTTTACCAACCATAGAACGTTACTAGACAGATGGAATTTCAATAAATTGTAAGTTGTTTTTTTATATCTTAATATTTTAACATTATTGTTTTTAAATTCAATTTTTTCATAAGTATTATAATTCTATTACCAATTATTACATTCAAATTTTAACCGTTAGAATGATATTGATTTTAGATGTAGAATTTTATGATATAATGACAATCATAATGGACATCATGGACCTTCTAACAATCAAATTAAATAGGACCAAGTGTCTTTGAGAGAGAAAATTTTCTTAGTCTACATCGCCATCTGCGTTCGGTTTGCGATACCATTATGATTTTTATATTATTAAATTTATAAGATTAGCTTATTTTATCCATGACTAATTAAAGGAATTTTGCGCTGAAGAAGGAATAATTGAGCCGAAACGTCCGCTTCCCCCCCCCCCCCCATTTGTTGTCGATATACTGTATTCATTTACATTCTGATTTATATTTGTTAATATGATGTAATTATTTATATATATTTTTTTGTATATTTTTTTTTGTATAATTAAATTTTATTTACAGAATAATGTTAAATTAATGAAATTGTCATTCTAAAGCTGTTTCTCTATATTTAAAAATATACATTTTTAAATACCTTCTGTCACCTTTTGAAATTAAAAATGGCGCATCCAATATGGCGAATAGCATCACAATAAAAAGGCATAAAATTTAGAAAAATTTATCAAAATGTGTAACAACTGTATTAGACATTTCTTTACAATACATATTTGTTTGGCCAACCGAACCTGACATATGTCAGTCTTTTCAAATTTCAAGATCATGGATCTACCATATTGATGTCTATATAAATTTTCTTTAACGTAAATTTTTTTACAACGTCATACTTATATATCTGAGCGAGAAAAAATCGTGCAGCGATAATCGAAAGTGGATTTGAAAGGCGAAAGTGAGTATTATACGATGCCATTGGCAGAAATATTTCAAAAAATTTGGTTTCCTCGCAATAAATTCATGAAATTGGCCAGAATAGCGATTTTTGAGCCATTCAATTACAAATTACTCAAAAACGTGATGTGCTACGCAAATTCGGCGGCCAGATTCGAATTCAGCTCAAAATTACGTCGGAAATTACTATTGCATCTTAAAAAAAAAACCTCGCAGGCCTGCGTAATCCGCGCATAATAGCAGCAAAGTCAACGGCATTTTAGGTCGGGGTTGGAGCTCGAGCGACATATTCCTCAGCCAATCTCCGGCGGGAGATCTGGCGGTGGAATTAATTAATTTCACGCTGAAAGGGCTTAACTCCCGGGGATAGAATTGTGTCCGCGCGACCGAAGATCAAGCTGCCGTCCAACTTTTCATGCGCGCACGTACCTACCTAACCCCCCTCTCGCGCCCTCCTCGTCGTTGCCGCGACGCGCGACGTGTTTCTATTGAATTTATTTCGGTGGAATCCACCCTGGACGCGGCGCGCACGTTGCTGATTGCAGCTACATCGAGCCGGCCAAGCCGGCCAGGCCATCGGGACGCGCCGGACCCGACGGCAGCGCTTGACGCTTCGCTTGCCAGTCACGTATGCCTGCATCATTTGCTATGGGTTTCATACCAGCCATAACTCTACGGATATATCCACTCCTCCTCCTCCCCCTCCTCCCCCTCCGTCTCCCGCCAGACTCACCTCCTCTTCGGCCTTCGACCCCCTCAAATCTCGCACTACAACCGCCAACCGTGGTTGGGCTTGCAGCTCTTAATCCGCCGCGCATTCATTCGAGCGAGGAAGTGGCGTCGGAATTAATCAAGTCTCGCCTGTCGTCATTAATTCGAGCAAAGGCCCGCTAATTTTCATTCGCCGGCGAGCTGTTAATTCGCGCCGCCGGCCTTTGACCAGGGAGAATTCGCTAGATTCTAGGATTGAATGGCATCGCGCCACTTGTTGTCGGCAAGTATAGCGCAGTAGAATGACGCTACGAGGAGATCGGCGAGCTTTGATTGAGCTTTCATGGATCTATTTAACGGCAACTGCAATAGCTAGACTCGTTCTGATTCCATCTGGATGCGGCGTAATAAATTTGATGTCGTGTCTAACGCCTTTTCGAGGCGTGAAAAGCTTGCGAAATGTAAATAGACATGGATTCTAAGAAAGCTTAAAAAAAATTAAAAAATTAAATCAGAACTTTCCAATCGTTGGACTTTGAGGATTACATTTTATTTATATACGGGATGTTTCTTAATGAGTGCGGAAAATTTTAGGAGATGATTTTTTTTGTCGAAAATTAAGGGAGGTTTTTTTATATACTCCTACATCCCTCTCTGTGAAGGAGTTATACTCCTCCAAAAATAGAAAAATTAGATTTTTATTTCTTTCTCAAATTTGGAACGAATTAAAGAAATGAAATTAGGTGGATATTTTCTACTGGTAAAAAGATTTCTATTTATTAATATTAAATTTATCTCTATAAATAAATATTAAATGTATCTCTATTTATTAATATTAAATTTATTTTTTTCAGCCTCCCGTATTGTTATAAGGAGATGAAACTAGCAACCCCCTTATTCAATTTTTTATTGGGACATTTTAATGTTTATATGAAAAACCTCCTCCCTTAATTTTTGACAAAGAATCATCTCCTAAAATTTTTCGCACTTATGAAGAAACCTCCTGTATATATTTGTATCAAGATAAACTGTCAATTTTAAACGTGATTTGTGATCTCCGATTTTTAAAGTTCCCGAAGTATTAATCTCGAATTTAGACTGGATAAGCTAAATAAGATCGCGTTACACATCAAGTATTTGCGCGTGCGATATCTAGGACATAATTTTTTTTACAATTTACACGTGCCGTGTATAAAACGAGGGGACGAGAAACCGTATTTTTATTTTCGCGTCAACTCTTTTGCGGGGAAATAAATTTTCGCTTCGCGAAACGTGAAAAGTAATTGGAAAAACACCGAGCCGTGAGTATTTAACTGCGACCGGTCGTGGAATACTCTGCATAACTTAATGTATATCGTAACGATACACGTTGCCGCAGCAAAGGGAGCAAACGGTATAAAATAAATATTTAAGAAATTCGGAGCTCGAACTTCGTGGGAGAGCTCGAGATTCCTCGCGTCCCTTTACAAGCAATTCTCGCGCTGCGAAAGATCGAAAATGGAGTAAAAAAAAAAAAAGAAAGAAAAAAAAATCATCGAGGGCGACTCCAGCCGTGCATTCCGCTTGCATTTCGCCGTCGAATCGGGCCGGGTGGCCGGCGCGGCGTTTCGAATCAATCGACCATAATCGCGCCCGTTGAATCGGGGGTTCTCCCGTTTCCTGCGTCTGGAAAAAGCGTTTCGATGGCGGCCGCGCGCACCGAATATCAATTGGCCATCGCGCGGCCCGAAAGCTGGCCCCTGCCATTCAGGAAGGATGCCCCCCCCTCCCCCCTCGATCCCTCTCGTCGCGTCGTCCTTGTTGCGGCCAGAT